TGTGAGAGGGGGAGGGGAGGGAATGGAAAGAAGCAGTACTTACTCTTTACCCCCGTCAAGGCAGGAATGTGGTAGTAATAGAACGGCAGTGCCGGGGCAGCCGCAGCCACCTCCTTTAGGAAATCAATGAGGCCATCTGAAAGAACAGCAGGAAAGTCAGGATGTGAACGCGTGTAAAACGCTGGCTTTCCCTGGTAGATGAACCATCTCAGGAAAGGCAGCCATCCTTTTCGGGGGCGGGAAGTTCTTGGCCCCTCTTACCATCCCTGAGATTGCTTACTGCCATGTCTTTGCAACTCACTTCACTGGAAGTTTTATTTTCCTTTCTGTAGAAAGGTCAAAATAAGATGATCCCGTTCCCATCATTCTAAAGCACTATTAAAACACTGGTGAACCTTCCCCCTACAAGAGAAGCTCATGAAATACTCTAACAAAAATGAGAAGCCCGTCAGGTAGGACTCTCATTCTCTGACCCCAGAGGGGCTAAGTGAGGTCAATGAACAGCTAAGACTTTGTATTAGGATCAGAATAAGAAAGGTGTGACTGAGGAAACTCTACAGCAAAAGGACAGGCAACATCTGCTCAAAGAGGGAAGTGACAAGAGTAGTCGCACGGCCCACAATAATTCAACCAGAGTTTCGCACCTTTGCCTTTGGGGGAGAAATCCAGGTATATCAGAAGAGAGCTCCCTCTGGTTGACTGAAGAACTGGGACTTTGTACCTCACCCAAGGTGAGCTCCAACTGCAACACTGCTGCAGATAATAAATAAATCCAGCGGCACTGCTTCTCATGCCACTGGAGAGTGGGAGAGAGAATCTTACACTCTTCACCTGAAAACTGTGATGACGTGTGGTCTGTGATAAATATTTCTGAAAGAAGCATTATGTAAAATTTGTTCTTTTCTCCGTGTCTGTCTTTTGGGAAAAGTATTCATATAAAAAATTTTAAAGCCATGTGAAAAAAAAAACTTTCCAAATGTTCATTTTAAATTCCCCAAATAGCAACATTTAAGGTACTTATCTATACTAACAATTATTTCCCCTCTACCAATAATAGGTGTTATTTCATGATAATTTCAACCGTTATACATATAGTTATGGATTTATTTAATCATGCATGCAAATAACATCTTGTCTGTCTCTAATCCTTTTAAAATGTGTATTTCCTTTTTTGCTAATCAAAAGGAATAAAAAGACTCAGGGTACTTAGAAACCACAAATAGTTTTTATAAAGAGTGTAGAGGGGGAGAAAACAATACCTTGATATTCTGGAAGACAGTAGATGCTTCTGTGAAATCTCTTTTCAAATCCATCACTCACTCAACCTTATATAGAAGGTTGACTCTCAAAATGTTTAGCACTTACATTCCACTTTTTTGAGAACAATGGTCCCATGCTTTGCCATGTGACTCTGACCCTTTGCACAACTCATACAACCAGGAGTAGACACCTGACCCAAACACAGGCACCTATAGGTTGACCTGAGCTTGATGGATGACCCAGTCAGATTACTTGGCAAAAGAGCCAAAATCCTTTAATGAAGTCTTTTCTTTTACAGATCCAGGGAGACTAAATATTCTGGAGAACTGCTGTACCATTGCAAAGTCATGTGTCCAGTCCATAAAACTTTTCTTTCACGAGTTGAATATAACCATTGTGAATGAAGGCAAGAAGAAGTGAACCATGTGAAGCACTGTGCATTTAGACCTAATTACCTTTGTTCTGTGGCTTGAGAAAGAAAGGTACAATGACAGCGATGCCATCGGCTCCTATTTCTGCTGCATGTTTGGCCTTGAAAAAAAGAAAAAAGACCCTTATGGATCTGGTCATAATTCTGATGTGTGTAGGTGTGGGGGTTTCCCCACACCAACAAGCAATTCTCTGACACTAGCTGGGTATCCTACAGTTCAACTCAATTCCCACACTACCTGGACAAAGAGTCAGATTCCACAGCTTGAGGGCTCAGTCCCCTATTCCCCTCCCCCAGTTCAGATGCCAGTTGCAAGCCCAGGTTATCACCTGTGATTTTGACTCACTATCTATAGAAGTTCCAACAGCCCTCTCCTTGGGTTGATTAATTTCCCAGAATGGCTCACTGAACTCAGAGAAACATTTTACTACTGTGCTAGATCACCAGTTTATTATAAAGGATAAAACTCAGAAACAGCCAGATGAAGAGATGCACGGGCAAGGCATGGGGAAAGGGTGCAGGGCTTCCATGCCACTCTCCCCAACTCTCCACCTGTTCACCAACTGGAAGCTCTCTGAACACCAACCCCCCTTTTGAATTTTTATGGAGGCATCATTTCATAGGCACTGTTGATTAAATCATTAGCCACTGGTGAGTAATACAACTTCCAGCCCCTTCCCCTGTAATCCATTATTCACTTGGTTGGTTGTCTTGGCAACCAGCCCCATTCTTAGGTGCTTTACAAAAGTTATCTCATTACCTAAAAGAGACACCTTTATTGCTCTCACCCCAGGAAATTCCAAGGGTTTTAGGAGCTCTGTGCCAGAAAAGGGACAAAGACCAAACAGAACAGTCCCTTCTTACCCATGTGGCTGGTTTATTTCACTTAACGTAACGTCCTCAAAGAGGTTCATCCATATCGCAGCATATGACAGGATGGATTTCCTTCCTTCTAGACTGAATAACATCCCACTGTATGCATGTAACCTATTTCATTTTCCCATCCATCCTTAGATGAATGGCCATCGTGACTAGTGCTATGAACAGGGGCAGGGCAATCTTTCCTGTTTCAGCTCTCTCCCCCACTCTCCAGACAGCAATTCTCAATTTTTACCATTCATCATGGCTGAACCCTGTCTTCCATCCCCTCTATGCCCAGCAGATGGCCTTGCCTTTTACTTTCTAGAGAAAACAGTTTGGCCCAAAGTGTGCTCCTTACCTGCAAACTTAGCTGCGTCTATACCCATCCTTCCTTTGCTTAGAGAAAGCGGTGCCTCCATCTCCAAACGTCTGCTACAGCAGTTAATACCTTGGGCTATTCTCTTTGGGGCTCTGTGCCTGTTTCTGTGCCTGAGTTCCTATACCTTATATTCTCCAGCACAGCATATAATATATAGCAAAATTGGTATTGATTTTAACTTTGGCATAAATATGGAGGCCCCTCAAGTGGTTCTCTCCTAGATGGACCTACACACATACCAGTTCTTGGGACTCCTTCAAGCTCAAGGCTCCTACATGAATTACTACCTGATCCAACCTGCAAAAGAGAAAGCACAGTTGCATCACTTGAAGTTTATGACAACACAGAGGGGCTGCACTATCTTGGTTTGTGCTGGTTTTAGCAGTTAGCTAATATTTGATTAATCTCAATCACAATGACTATTACATTCTGCAGTGGTGTATTTATAATTTATCTAATTCACGATTTAAAAAAAAGAGTGTCCAGAGAATAAAATTTAAGGTTCAACTGAGCAGTAGAATTTTGAAACCAGTAACTGATTAATCAATACTTGAGTACTTTTTTTGACAAAGCATTATTTTAGATGCTGTATTTGATGGTGCTAATGTGTATAAAGATAGGTGTAAAACTGAGATTTCTGTGTGAGAGATAGAAATAAAGAGATTCCTCAAAGAGTGCAACCAGGAACCAGCCATATGAGAAATAAATTCACTGTAAAAAGCTTTTTCCTATCTTGTAAGTCCCTAGAATTTGGTCCTAAGAGGTTTTCTCTGAAATTCCAATGTTCATCTTCAGAGGTTATCCATGTGGCCCCCGGGGCAAGAGGCCAAAGAGAGACTGGTCTTTTCAGGGTAAGATTACTAAGACCCCACTGTGGATCCAGGTATCCCCACTAGTCTTCTGAGGGACTCTGAGTGACACAGAGCCCACCCTCAGGGGATGGAGACACCACATTTCCACTCAGGCCCAATCATGGCATCCTGCACTGCTTCCTGAGTTGTTCGGTCTGAGGTGAACCGGGACGAGCCGGGAAATGACAGGATCGGGTCGCATCGCTAAAGGAGACGGAAGCTGGCCGACCTGCTGACTCTGGCCCGCGCTTTACTGCGTGATCTCCTGGTCCCTTTCTCCAGGCCTAAGTGAAAGCACTCATCCATTCCTGCTCCCCCCTGCCCTGCTGCTAGAGAAAGCCACCACATGGCTGAAATACAACCTTGTCATTCCCCAATTCAGGAGGAGGCTCCAAAGAGCCTTCTGGTCGACCTGACTCACTTGCCTTGCCAATCCCTGCAGTAGCTACTCTAAATCGTCACGATTCTCCTTAAGCTCAAAACCACACCCCAACTCCTTGTTCTGGGCAGATGTCTTCAGTTCCTAGACACCAGAGATAAAGCTGCTTTCACATATAGACTCCCTCACTTTTTCCCCTCTGCACTGGGCTGTGTCGCCATCTATGCTTTGCACGCAGCTTCTTGACTGTCATCTAAAGCTACCCTACCTACCTTAGGTTTTATTTCAAACTCGCCCGCCAAGACCTTCCAGCCAAGGCATCAGCTCTTCATTCTCTTCAATCTCTTCTCCCATGGCAGCGTCCTTTCAGCACAGAAACATGCTCAAGACTTTCCCACTTGAAGAAAAAGCAGCGGTTCTTCCTCCTCCCTAATCTACCATTCCATCTCTCCTTCCCTTCCCCAGAACTTTTTTCTGCAAATAAGCTACTCTCCTGCCCCCACTTCCACAGGCCGGCTGCATTCCTCAGCACTGCAGCCTGCTTCCACTACCGTCCCCCACTGGCTCTGCTCTCTCCAGGGTCACTGGTCACTTCCTCCACGTCAATGCAAGTGGCCTTCTCAGTCCTCCATCTGCTGACTTTCACTGCATCTAACAATTATGATAACAAAAGTCATAATGAACACAGCATCTACTGCGAATAAGTACAGCGAATTCTTATGTGATACTTAGTACTATGTGTCAGGCACTGTTCGAATCCTCACCAGCTCCTTATAAGATAGAGACTATTATTATTCCTATCGTAAGGATGAAGCCCAGGGTGGTTAAGACTTGCCTGAGCTCACAGAGCTGGCAAGAGGCCCTGAACTCAGGCAGCCTGGCTTTCTAGTCCTGCTTTTAATTTGCAGGCTCACTTGGGATTTACCTCCAATCTTTGCTCCCACCTACAGCACATCAATCACTCCCTTCTCTGATCCCTGTTTATACTATTTATCAGAAGGAGTAGAGTGTTAGTTTTCATGATCTGACATCTCCATTGGATGGTAAGCAATCTGAGGGCAGGGATCTTGTTTTATATCCCCGGTGCCAGCACAGTGCATAATACACAACGTAATAGACAACAGATAAAACTTGGTTAACTGAATGTGCTTATTGAACTGACACTGTCCTATTTGTTTTACTGTGACATGAACTGAGAGTTATAATGAGAAGATATCATCACACTGAAGTTTAGAGGACACAGGAAGTCCGCCAAGATAGCAAGAGGAAGCCTCACAGAGCATGCTGAGCGTGTGCATGGAGAAGACCTGTAAGGAAGTGGGCCTGACAGAAGCATCAGGTCCCATCCTGAGAAGGGAGGGAGCATGACTATCTCAGCAGAAGAGCCAGGAGCCCAGCAGAGTCAGTCACCAGCACCTTCCCCTCTTATCCCTCCAGCCCAAGGCCAGGTAACCTAAGAGGGTTGATTGGTGGATAGATGAGAGGCAGGCTCCAGTTTCCAGAAGGAATCCCTGCGAGCCAGGCGTGTCTTGCAGCCCAGCTGCCCTTCCACAGAAAGAAGGGCGCTCCTCTACCTGGGCTCCTCGTGCAAGTGCTGGGATCCTCGGGTCCCTGCTCATTTTCTCACAAGCTGACCTCGAGCCTGACTTGTGACCAGAAGGCAGGAAGGCTGTGTCATCAAGAAAGAGCCAGAGACTCGATGCAGCTCTTGCAGATGAGTGTTTTTATCCGGGTGTTTTTATGCACTCACTTGTTCCTCCCTTTTGTCACCCATGCCTCTGCAACCTGGCGACGCTCTGAGGTGCTCAGAGACAGGCCTTCTCCCGTTGTGCCATTCACTGTTCCAAACAAAGAGGCAGTCAGTGGAACCAACCAATACTTTCATTCATCCAACATCGGCGCTTGGAGGGCAGGGTCAGAAATCCCTGCTCAGGAGGAAGTGACACGGGGAAATACCAGAGGGTAGAATCAGGGAGGGGGAAATGCCATGTTTCCATCGTCACCTCAGACTCAGTCTTTTTTCCATCTTCACCTTGTTGAAAGTAGCAGGAAGGGGAATCCTGACTTATAATTACAAACCTGTCATCTTTACTACCAGGGATAGAGAGCAAAGAGAACTGCCCATGTTTTAGGCAAATCTCCAAAACTTCCCCTTCTAATAAAGTCCTCTCTTAATGGGTCACAGAAAGGAGGCAAATGGCACAGGAAACATCACTGGGCCTAATGCATATGGCAGCACTTTGGATTCCCAAACACTGAGCACTCAGCTGGGACAAAGGAGGAGGGTAGGAGGCAAGGGGGAGTTGGAAAGTGTTCTTATCACTCTTTTGGGGTCTTGAGAGACCTCAGACATGCTCCCTAGAGCCCTTTGAGGAGGAAGACTATGTCTTCCCTACTACGGCTTGGAGCTGTAGGGGGACACTGAGTGGTTCTGTAATCAGGGTTTGGTTGTGACATGTGGCCTGATCACCTTTTCACAGAAGTTTTAGCCTGCTCCAATTATGACCATGGTGCCTCCAGCTCTGAAGGGGACCCTGTTGGTAGAGCAGCAGCTCGGGGCCAAGGTGTAGTGACCTTAGAATGACAACCAATTCAAGGGGCTGAGGCCCAGAACACAACTCAAGCGGCAGCAAAGTCGCAGGTAAGTATGGTTGTCAGGCTTAAAATGTTCAAAGTCTGATTATTCTAATTTCTATCATCTATGAATAAATGAGGGTAACTGCTAGACCTGTGATTCTTTTATGTGCTGCAGTTAGATTCTTACATGTACAATAAGAAAGGTCCGGGTGAAGACAGAATTAAGCACATTCTTAAGAGAGTGAACCCTGGGTCTTGTTCCTCTATCACTTTCTTGGCTCAATAGATTTGGACAACCTAAATACAAAACCAAACCATCAATTTTCTTCTTCAAATGGGGATAAAAACAATACCTTATCTGTTTTGAAGGCACAGCACTAAATTAGATAATCTCTTGAGGTGCTTTTTAGGTCTAAAATTGATGAGTCTATAAATTCACAAATTTGACATAGTTTAATCAGGCTCAGTCATAACCTAGGATACAATGACACTGTGACCTCCTCGCTACTTTCTAAGGACAGAGCTAGAGTTATGTAGAGAAATCTCTAAAGATGACTTACCAAAAATATTCTTCACTCCCTGTTTTTCCACAAGATAATCCACGTATTGACCAATTACTGAAAAGTTGATTTCTCTAAAAGGCACAGGAAAACAAATAGGAAAAATGTATATTTAGTCTTTTGTAGAATATTATTCCATCGGTTCCCAAGTCTGTAACCTGCTCTCTGTTAATAGTTTTTAAAATCCACCTCGTCAATTCATGAAATTCTTAGCCTCCTCTGAATAATACCAGTTTTTTTGCTTTGTTTTCTTCTGAGTCTGGTGATTTCTCTGCTCAGCCACATGTTCCTCACTTATATGAGCAAAACACTATTAATCAACAAAGGCTTTACATTTAATTATTAAAAATCATCAAATGTAATATTTAAAATGAAGTTACTGAATCATCTTTTGTCCTTTTTGGGAAGAGAGATGTTTGGGGGCATGGCTAAATGAGAACATTTTCTACTTGGTGAGAAGCAATCATTTCTTAGGCTTACAAAATAGGAAAATTCAATCTTACTAATTTAAAAATTTTAGCACTTAATATTCGTGACAACAAACAAAGACTTAACTTCATCTGTATTTGCTAGTTTTAAATTGAAGAGGATTACCAGTTGCAAAGGAACTTTGCTGTCACTTTACCTCTCAGAGTGTGGTCTGGGGAACAGCAGCATCTGGGGGAGTCTCAGAAATGTAGAGTCCCAAGCCCCCCATGTCCTACCCAGTCAGAATCTGCATGGTAACAAGATCCCCATGTCGTCTGCATACACTCTGCAGAGTACTGACCTTGGAAGGATCTGATGCTTAAGGCAATAAGAGCTCTTCTCCTTAAAATCATATCGATTGTGAAATCTAGAAACTGACTCAAACGCAAACCATGTAAAGCTGCCTGGTCTCAATCAAAATATAGGTGGGGTGGATGGGGGACGGAGAGTGAAAATACAAAGGAGAGCTGTGGGGGCAAGTCTGTGTTAAACGTTGTGGAATCTATGGTTACTGTTGCCAAGAACACCAAGTACTAGTTGACCACCATGTGCATTTTTGTCAGTGGGGCCAGAAAATCCTAATTTAATTTCAACCTTATTAACACTCTTTTCTTATGTACAAATTGTAGTCCTTAAAAAAACAAAACCAAACAAAAAAATCCGATTCGTATGGAAAACATAGACANCAATTTAATTTCAACCTTATTAACACTCTTTTCTTATGTACTAATTGTAGTCCTTAAAAAACAAAACCAAACAAAAAAATCCGATTCGTATGGAAAACATAGACACCACTGGGTATTGTCAAAGGGAATGGGAGCAATTGAGACAAAAACAAGGAATTCACAAGCAATCACTGCCCACACAAGCAAATGACAAGACACCAGCCTGAGCCTGCCCCGGGAACAGGTGTGCTGTAATGTCCTTAGAAGGGTTCCAAGGGGAGCAGGCTCCCTCCAGAATGGCTCGCATACAGGTCTCATTACCTTCCCCTCCTCACCTCACTTGTTCAAATGCCAAATCGGGCCTCTCAGGTTTGCTAAGCAGGTAGGCTCCCTGAATGCACGACAGGAATGAATTTAGGTTGCACTCGCTGAAGGTAAGATGGGGGCGATAGGTGCCTAGACAGCCCATCTCAGGACCCTCATTTAGGTCAGCCTGACCTGCTCAGCTTCTTGAAATCTCTGCGCCTTGGGCATGTCTGAGCACTTAGAACCGTATCTTTACAGTACACCAGCTCCTTGCTGCTTCCATCAGGTCTTCCCCACTTGGGATAAATTCTGAGATGCAGGAACAATCAGCAGGTTTTGACCAGTGATGTCCATCTACTCATACGAACAACCAAGAAACAGTTCCAACAAAGCCAGGGAACTTCTGAATCAGATAGAAAACTGGGAAGAATCTCACTGGGCAATAACCTGTGCTGGAGTTACAGATTCAAATACAGTGGCTCCTCTACACTTTCACCGAAGTGTTAACACCTCCCCATTCCCCCACTTACTCAAAGACTTTGAGAGAAGCTCTTTTTCATCAAGGAGAAGCCTGTAGAGCTCTGGACGGTCCAGGCCTGGTAGGCACTATGCAACCTTTTGTTTAGATTAGATTATGCTTTCTCATCTGGGAAAGGAAACTGGAAAGCTTGCTTACATTCTCAGAAATTCTTACAGAGAGAAACTGACCTACTCAGTCTGTTCGGGTGTATGTGTGTCTCCCCAAACTGGGCTCCTAAACTCAGCAGAGACCCCCACTACCAAGTGGGCCCCAAATGGCCAAGCCAGCACGATTGCTCAGCACTGTTTCAGGCTCCAATGATATGCTCAGTCATTACTACTGTTATTACTTCTCAGTGACAAAAGCCAGAAATACCTCACACCCTCAGCCAAGTTCACATCGCTTTTATCATAAACATCAATTATTTATGCCCACCCTCCAGGCTGCAGCAAGAACTTCCCGAAGGCATGGGCGGTGCTTTTTTTACTGTGCCATCTCCAGTCTGCACCGAGCACAGCACAGATGCTCAACAAAGGCTGGTACAGGAGTTGTGATGTGGGAACTTACAATGATAACGACACATCCATGATCTGCCTTAAAAGCGCTTATCCTCACACTTGCACGATGCTTTTAAATTTCACTGTTACATTAACTGAGTGGAGATTGCCGTATATAAATAACTAAAATATTGAGGCAAGTATGGTGAAGGCTATGAGTTAAAAATTACATGAATAGAAGTCAGAAGAGGGACTGAGCATTCTAATTAGGGAGGCTGGGAAGGGGAGGCAGGGAGGACGTGGACCTGGAATAAAAATCAAGATGAAATCCCATGATCCCCCCTCTTTGTCACGTTTTTGAGAGCCGCTATTTGTCTGCCCTGTTCTGGTGAACTCCTCCTAAGGGGTGAGCTGCACCGTCAGGCAGATCCAGGCAAGTACCCACTGATTCTTCTCCTTCCTCAGTGAACTCCACACCATTTCATGGCTTCAGTGGGCAGTGTTTCCATCTACACTGTTTCCCACCACCTCCCCCCCATTTAGGCCTGGATGATTGACAAGCTACGGCAATTTCACTCAGGTTAGGGTTGCTAATGGGAGAGAGATGATCTACCCCTCCAAGAAAGTTTGCTGCTTCTTATGAAATGCTTCTAGCCTGCAGGGGTGATACTAATGGTGGAATTTCTGGGGCAGTGACAGAGTCACCCCAAATGCCCTGAGACTTATGGCTTTTTGGAACTACCAAATCCCCTTAGAGAGATCAGAGGTTGAGAAAGGATGGCCTCCAAATGTGTTTTGTTGACTTTCACAGTGTTAAAATTTCTGGTCATGTTAAAAAAATGATTTTATTTGAAAAGTCAGAAGATCTAACAAGGTCAGGCCTACATTTCCATATAGCACCAAGTGGCTGGGGAGCGCAGTGGCTGCCCCCATGGAGGCACAAAAGCCCCGGGTCGCCTCAGGGACTTCAGGTCCCTGTCTGACTGCAGGTGCAAGTTTGCAGCCCTTGGCAGAGATGCTCAGGGGCCCCAGTTACAAGTGAGCCGGGTGAAATCACCCAGAGCCGTTACCATATTTGTCACAGAGGCACCCAAACAGCAGGGCTAGGGTGATAATAGGATGATAATTATCTCTGGGGACTTCGCTCTCTTCCCTGTTTCCCACCCACTCTACCTCCCCAGGGTATCTGGGTTCGTGTCCATCGCTGCAGACACTGTGTCAGTTACCAGGAAGCCACTAGAGAGAAGGCAACAATGAGAATTAATTGTTCTTCTTCTCACTGGTTGTTTGGGGCTTGGTGCTTATGGAAGTGACAGGTGGCCCCAGCCAGTTCACTTGAAAGAGCTGAACTGACTTTTTACTGCATCTTCTCTTCCTCCGAGAGTCCCAAGAACACATCTCACCACTGGCCACCTCGAGGGAGACTGGCCCAGAACCAAACCCCATGCTTGCTGTAATCATTCTCATTCTAAACTCCAATTTAATAACTTAATTTCAGTTCCCGTGGGTTCATATTCTTTGCCGTAGGTCCATGATTATATTTTAAATAAAAGTATTTAACTTTTTTTCATATTACAGAAGCTATTGTAATTTATTTTAGAAAATACACACAATAAGAAAGGAAAAAAACCCCACTCAGGATCTCCCTGGAGATAATTACTCTTATTAGTTTGATATTCTTCTATTCACAAATACACAATACTGTATAGTATTTTTAAAATAAATATAGGCATATTATACATTATTGTAATATTATTTTCACAGCCTTCCAAATAGACTATTTCCCCACATCTTTAGATATTGTTACTATACTGGCTACACAGCATTTCACTGTACAAACGAACATAATTTAGCTAATGTTCTAGTCTTAGACATTTTGTTTACTTCCAGACTCCATTAGGGTAGGGACCTTAAATCAAATTATTTTTAACCACAAATCAAGGCACTAAGTGAGTGAACTCTGAAACCACATGTAGACTATATCTGTCTCTTTTCTTACAGTATAAGGATAATAGAATTTTTCTGAAGTGTCTTTTCAGAGAAAAACCCCTATTGCTGTTTATTTTCTCTCCTGGCACACAGTACACAGGAAAGATATTCACTTCAACAATGCAGAATCAACAGGACAGGCCCTTTTCACAATGGGCATGATCTGGCCTGCATATCAGAGAATCTGACATTCCGATTTTTTTGCCTCTCACCTGGATTTTTCAGCATTTAAAATCAATGGAAGTTATGTGTATTTTTGGCAAAATAACTACTTGGTTACTGCGAAGCTCCTTCAGCAGAGAAGTGGGAAGGGATTATGTCTGCCCCACCATGCCAGGGCGTTTTCTGGGCATGTGGGTTTCAGTCTCCCAAACACAGTTAAAAAGACAGTAATCTGTACAACTTGACTCCAGCATGCCAGGCCCTTTCTGACTGGGGTAATGGGTTTTGTTTTACTAGAGAATGTGGTGAAGATTCCCACGGTGAGGTCAAGAGTGTTCGAGGGAGAAAACACAGCTTTTTTCTTGACACTGTGGCCAATCTGAAATGGACTTTCTGTTCTGATGACTATACTTGCCCAAAGGAAAAAGTGACTTTCTGAAACAATTAAGGAAAGCAAAAGTCTTTTGCTCTAGTGTAGAAACAGACAGGGTAAAGAGAGACTGGGTAGAGAGAGACTTTCCTTTCTGGCTATGTGGCTAAGGGCAAGATCTTTAGGATTGGTCTCATTCATTGCAAAAATACAGCTAATAGCTCTGCCACAGAGTGGCTGTGAAGATTAAACTGGAACACGTACATTAAAATGCCCAACATGATGACTGACACACAGGATTAGTTTCCTTTCCTTTGTTCTCTTGACCAACGGCATTAATCATCCTTGCAGTACATTCACTCACAAAATAGCAAAATTCCCCACACACTGAGCTAGATGCTGAAGATATCAAGATCAGTAGGATGCATGCTCAGTCCTTAGGTATTGCCTGTTGAATAAAGTTAAGTCACTCAGAGCCTGCTGGGAGGGACAGCTATGTAACAGCTACTGTAATACTCACTACAAACAAATAATTCTGATGTAATAGAAAAAGGTATGCACAGGGTCCTGTGGGATCACAGGGGAAGGGTCCTCTCAGTCTTTTTAGGGAAAATGGGGAATTTTTGTCAATCTCCCTGCTCGAAGACATGAACTTATATTCAGAGTTGATTTAGTAATGAGAATTCCTTAGAATCAAGAAGAAAAAAAGAATGCAGGGGAATAGTTCTTGTTCAGCCTTCCTGAATCATGGAGGCCATGGGATACAGTACAAGCCAGGTAGGAAAACTCCCATGATGGAGGCTGCCAGGAGATGTCCAGGTGTGAGATTCTATGTGAACTTCTTTTTGTCCTGTCTCTTGGAAACATTTCTGAGATGCAGATTCCCTTGTGGGCAAGTAAGTTAATGCCCACCTACTCCTGGTGGGTGCTCCAAACCTGCTTTGTACCTACAGGAATGTCTGGATGGAGCAGGTGGTGGGAGAAAAGGGAACCAGCATAGCTTACGTGCCTACTGTGTGCTATATACTTTTTTTAAGGCACTAATTTAATTTTTACAAGTCTCTTACAAAAAGTGCGTTCTTATTTTGACTTGAATTGATGAGAAAAGAGGAAATAGTGAAATGGAGGCAGGAGAGCCAGAGGTATTTGGAAAATGGAGAAGGAACCGCAAAGCAATCTCCAATACATGGGGCCTGGTGTCCCAGGAAAACAGCAGGATGGGGAAGAAACACTGACACCCTCAGTGGGTCCCAGATGAACAAACAAGACTGTTTTAAGAAGCCTCTTCTAGGCTAAGAGGGGTCTGATTGAAGAGATTAAAGTAGCATCACCAGATGCAGAGTTTTGAGTTTGCAAGCAGGATCTCACTCCATACAGGAAGTAAATTCTGCCTGCTCATGCAGTCACATGTCCTCTGTTTTATCTGTCCAAGTGACTGACACAATGAGAAGGAGCTGACTTCAGTCTTTCTTACAACTTGTGGAAAGGGAGAAGCAACAGAAAAAAAATTACTACTAACCACTGAGTACTCTCAATGGCATCTCAGCAAAAATTTTACTTAGAGCTAACAAAGATGTGATTTTTTTCATGAATCTTAGAAGCTGGAAGTCTTGAATGCCAATGATCTAAAAGGAAAACTGTAATATGGCCAACTTTGAATGAGAACAGTAAAAGTTATAAGAAATTTCATCTACTTTAAAGGAGTAGGGTTAACGTTTACAAATTCGGCAACAGAAGACCAAAAATAAGTAAAACCCTTATTTAAAGATATCTTAAATTCCTCACCTTCCTTTTATCCCATCTTATGCCAAAAAGCAGTTCAAACATATGGACCTAAGTGCACACTGATCCTGTGCTAAGCACTATTCTACGGATAATCTCGTTTAACGCTCATAACTCCATGGTGTAGGCATAATCATCATATTTTATAGAGGAAGAAAGAAGTTTAAAGGAGCCAGAATTCTGACAGTTTTGGCAGACTGACTCCTTCAAAAGGTCAAAAACATTTAGATTCAGGAGGTAGATGAGTTTCCTTTTTCTAAGTGGCAATGCCCAGGGAGGGGTTATATGTCGTGTGTGGACATGTATGGCACATGACCATTATGACAGTCTAAGCAAAGGGACGGCCATACTATTCATTTGGAAGTCAAAATACTTGCTTGGCCTATGATTTCTCAGCAATCATCTGTTGTTACCTCCCACTCCTGGAGGCTCCCCAATATGTAACCAATGTTGAAATGAGACTATAAACACGCCTAAGGGGTCCCTCTTACAGCTACTTTCTCCACTTTCATCACGGCAATGAACAGCCTGGGGTGGAATCACGCAGACGTTTAGAGACAGGATCTAGAGGGGCCAGGCCAGGGTTTGAGGTGAAATCTTGGTAAAAGGAAAGTCTTACCCAATTCCACTGGCCTTGAGGACTGTGATGAAATCCAAGGGGAATTTGCATTGTGGAGCTAGAGACCCTGGGAGAAAGGTGAGCTGCTATATCTTTCCTTCTGTCTTTCTGCACTGTTTGAGATATAGAGACCTTGTCTCTGACTTGGGGCAAGAGACAGTACAGGTGGACATCTGATGGAAACTGCCACTTGGCAACAGTACCACAAAGCACAGAGTTTAAGTGACTGTTATATAGAGAACATCTGTCCATTCTGGTAGAGTGACAACAAATGGTAGTTACCCGTGCTCGGTCATCGGCGTGATGGTTGCAGCAACCAGACCTTGAAGTTTCTTCTTCGGGGAGGCCATTGAGCTGCTGAAAAAAGTCTGGAAAACATAGAACAGAATTCCTCTCTTCTCCAAGGAATGTCAATTAATGATAAAACTTCTGGGCAAAGTCCATTTACCAGTTAGAACTGTGAAAAAAGCTTACAAGCATGCAAACACAGAGAGTAAGTGAGAAAGTAGGATTTTAGGGCTTAATGCTAAAGGAGGGGAAACTATTTTTTAAAGTCAGGATAGCAGTGGTCTGGCAACACATATACCACGGGAAAGGCCTCCAATTTCATCTAGATGATTGAGGCAATGTCAGGCTTCAAAGAGCAGGGGTAAAAAGCAACAGACCAAAGAAAGGACATAACCTAACTCAGGGAATGCAAATATATAAAGAATTACTACTACTTAAATCGAAATATGGTCAGGAGAAAAGGGACATTCTTATCTCTTTCTATATCTTCATTCTGTTAAGCAAGAATTTCACCCCAAACCAGCTCTTACACTTTTAAGGCTTCAGTGTGATCTCTGTAGTTTATCTTCAGATTTTCCTAACTATCCTTTCAGATTCTAATTTTGACCAGTTATGTCCTGTTTTCCTAGCTCTAGTAAACCACATAAACTACATCACAATGATTTATTCATCTCTCCCCCACTAGATCAAGCTCCCCAGGACGGGGAATATGTTTCGTCTTTGTTTTTCCTCTGCTGAGTGCTCTGCAGACACTTGTGTGCAATTAAAAATTGATGAATTTCTGGTTGATTGAATGAAGTGTTCAGATTGCAGCTGAATGAAGACTTCGAACAGTGCCAGACACATAGTGAGAACAAGTTTGGCCCCCTCCACGAAGTCTTCTCTGATGGCTATAGGACATTAGCAAGTCCATCATTATTCCCTTACCAGCCTCCTCTTTGCTGTCAACTCAGCTCTACTGGTACCTCCTCCCCAACCCTAGCTTCTCTTGCCTATTCAGGGACTAAGTCATTTCAATTCTGTTATCTTCTTTCCTGCATTCCTTCCCTCTCCTCTCACCGTCCCTCTCATAACTTATCCTTTGTTACCTCTTATCTACACCAATGGGCACAACCCAGGTCCAAGGGGCCCATGGAGGCTCAAGAAGGTTCAAGTGATAACAGTTCCAAGAGCTGGGTTCAATGTGAAAACTCTCCTAAATAGAACAGTACTAGGCTGTTCACACTAGGCTTCCATATTCTTGGACTTTTAGCTGCATTTATTTCATGCTTAGGGCAGTTACACTGATATTCTTATGATGGTCAGAAGCTCAGAGTGGCAGATATATATATATGTGATTGAAAGAAGTCAAGTTGTGGCTTAAGTATAGTTTGATTAGTTAAAGCTTTCAAAGCATCAGGGAGTGGGATGAGAGTTGGGACTCACTGTCTTACCTTCTTTCAATCCACAAAGGCTGCCAGATTAACCTCCCAGTAGCACAGACATTTCTGACCTTGCATTGCCAATAACTTCCCACCTTGGCTTCCATGAAATAAATACTAAACTCCCTGGCCTAGGTCTCTGTAGAGATCTCTTCATGCCTTCAAGTGCATTGGCTTGCCTGTTGCTGTTCCCTGCTGCCACCTTCCCTCTCCTGTCTGGCTTGCTTGCCTCTCTCCAGTGGTTCTCCCACCCAGAATCTCCCACTTTAGCCTCTCAGTCTAGCCACCTTTTAAAAAGCTAGGGAATATTCCCTGGTCCCCCAAGATGAAAATAATATCATACCCCTTAAAATGTTCCCCAAACGCTGTTTTTTTTTTTTATTAAAAACCTTATGTCAGAGTTATTAGCAGGGTAGTTTGGGCTCCTCTTCCAGACTGTAAGCGATCTGGGGGCAGGAACGGCCTAAAAAATTTATCTGTGTACAGAGCAACACGCTAAATAAATGAGCAAAGTTTGCTGGCTTTGTGAACCATGAAACTCTTGCAAGAAGAGCTGGGGTAAAATATCACAGCAGCTGTAACTGAAGAAGCACTGATATTTTGTCAATTTGAGTTGTAAATAAACTTGGTGATGTTATGCTTTGAAATTCTTTCTAACTTGTATCAAAAGCAAATGGTTAGAAGGTCCACCAGCCTAAGGTTTAAGGTGAATTTAAAATATTATTGCCCCAAACACTGGGAAGGGGGTATTACTCTTGAAATCGTACATCTCTATCCACAGACAAGAACACTTAGTGCAAATAATTCTGGTTGCCTTCGTCAAATTCTCTGAAAAGGGTAAAGTTTAAAAGAAGAAGAAGAAAGAAAGAGAGAGGGAGGGAGGGAGGGACGGAGAAATAAATCTCTGGGGGAGGAAGAGGATGCACCTCTGGGTAAGAAGGATGATTGACAGGGAAGTACTTGGAGAGGAAGAAACAGACAGAGAAACAAGACAAGACAAGACAAAACACAGAAATACGACCACTTTTCCATAAAACGAAGATATTGTATCAAATGTAATCGCTAAACTCTCTTCTGCTCAGTCGCTGATTCTGGTCATTTTGACAAAAGCATCTGGAAGGACTTCGGGGTCCCTTGGCCCCCGTCTGTCCGGACACTTCCTCCAGGCCCGAGGGTGTCGCCCTCGCACTCCCTCTGGCTCCCATTCCCCGATTCTGCGCCTTCGCCTTCCCTGGGGCGGTCACCCTCTCCCCCACCCTGAGTCCCGTCCCCCGCGCCCCTCCGCCC